TGTGTAGCTGCCATCGTTGAGTAAGTCTTGAATTTTGTTGTTATATTATATTTTATCCATGATGACAGTGTCGGCTGAGAGGATGACAATGTCATCCCTCTTTTTTAACTTATATAATTCAAAACGCTCATCTTTGCTGAGGTTGCTAGCTGGCATCTTAGCGTTTTTGAGGGTTGCAGCGATTTCAGATCTTGCTACGTCTGCAGCGATGTGACCCACCAGGCCCTTGAGAGCCACGTCTACTTGGGCAATGATATCATTAACTGATATGTGTTTAGGTGTGACTGCAAAGTTTAGCCCTTTAGCTAAAACGAATTTCAGACTAAAGATGTTCAACATACGTTCGTCAATAACACATTATATACTTTTCTGGTCAACAATCCTTATTTACGGCACACAGGTTAATATCGGATTTTTTTTTAAAATCACAACGCTGGTTATCGTTCATAGTTGTCCAGCAGAGGGCGCAGGATGACATGTAACGTCTCTGTGGATACCCGAATCGATATGTCGTCTTTAGTTTGAGCTGCGTCTGTCCTGCTAGGCGACCTGACAATGCGAAAATGCGTCATCACACGGCACACCACATCCAGAATACATCTCGCTATGGCTGTGGCTACTACTCACCTGCCACCTACACGAGTCGACCAGCGACTCGAAAAATATCCAGTGGGATATGAAGCCACGTAGGCATTAATAACGAGAAAACTTGTGATGCACAATTCTTATATTTTAAAAACATATATGTTGCAAAGTTATCTTGATTTGATGTTGGTATTAGCAGACGTTCATTAAGCAGCCTTAGGTACAAACCATTTTATAGATGCATGGTTGGAATTACACCGAGAGACAGCAAGAGGAGCACGTGGATATACGAACAATAACAACAGCTGCCATTCGCCACTAAGTGACTGTGGCGTCACCACGGCGCCTGTGCCAGGCTAGGTGGATTTTAAGTCCACGTGAAGTGTCGAAGGCTCGCTGACAGGAGGTCACGGGACAGACCCAGCAGGCGCCATGCGTTGACTGACTGAGATGACTGGCAGATGCACACCAGCTGTGCCCGCTACTGTGCCAACTTGCTGCATTTTATCTACCCGGCGTTCTGCTCGTTGTTGTGAGCATCGCTCCTCTGCCGTCCGTTGTTGTTGGAGGGCGACTGCCCCCAACTGCTCAGTAGCGTCCTTCACGAGCCTCTTCCACAGATCACAGAATACACGCATATAGCAAGAGACATCAGTGAGTAAAACTACGGAAGGTTATTTTCCTGGGCCAATATATCGCGAGTCGGGGTGATGGCCGATGGCCAGGACTGCTGACGGAATTGCAGCCCAAAGGATGAAAAATGCATCTCAGAGGACGACTCCCGCGGAGATGCAGCTGTGGGTGATGCACATGAATGCCGTGCACATGCGCGTTCAGCAGAGGGCATGAGAGTCTGTCCTCGAGATGTTGCAGCGAAATGTTTGTCTCGAGAGTGTCCACATTTTTTTTGTATATAAATGATACTTTATCTCTGTCTGCACACATGCTCTTCCGATGATGGGTACTCTCGTTGATTGAGAATAATAAATAATAATAGTGTTAATTGTTCAAAATCCATAAGTGTCTGAACGCAGCACTAATCTGAATGTGCCCGAAATTATTTTAATGACAGCATGACACCGCCTGCATTGAACGCAACCGATGCGTGCAACGGGTGATAATTTGTATTTAATGCGCAGTCAATCCACTGCTGGATGAAGGCCTCTTCCACACCATGCCGGGGATGAGGGCTATTTGACCATACTTGACCACCGCTGGTTAGTGAATGGGGGGGGGGGGTAGTTAGGGGGCCGCTGATGTTGGTCATAGCCACGAATCGATATAAAATTGTCGGGTTTATGGTGCAGTGCGCTACCCATTGCGCTACCGCTCTACCCAAAGAATGACAATACCCAGGGATTCATATCGGGCCGGGTCGGTGGACGTGAAAACATGTTACCGCCCGGCACACCACTCCAGTATACCTCTCGCAACAAGTCACCTGCCATCTCCCGGTCAACCAGCTACCCATTACACCGTCACCATCAGGCCATGCTCAATCCACTGATGGATGAAGGCCTTCCCAAGCCGCCGCCAGTTCCCACGATCATACAACGTAATAACTACCCACCTAGCACCCGCGCACTCACTGATTCCATCGCTCCATCTCCACGGCGGACGTGAAACATTTTTTGTTCGAGAACAAATGAAACCCTGACAAATACAAACACGTCCCCACTCCCCTCCCCACCCCCATTGTGCGCGAGGATGTTGGCGCTCATGGATCTCTGCTGTGATCCCTTGTTGTTGTTTACTCTGCTGTGATCCATTGTTGTTGTTTACTCTGCTGTGATCCCTTGTTGTTTACTCTGCTGTGATCCATGTTGTTTACTCTGCTGTGATCCCTTGTTTACTCTGCTGTGATCCCTTGTTGTTGTTTACTCTGCTGTGATCCATGTTGTTTACTCTGCTGTGATCCATGTTGTTTACTCTGCTGTGATCCATGTTGTTTACTCTGCTGTGATCCCATGTTGTTTACTCTGCTGTGATCCATGTTGTTTACTCTGCTGTGATCCATTGTTGTTGTTTACTCTGCTGTGATCCATTGTTGTTGTTTACTCTGCTGTGATCCATTGTTGTTGTTTACTCTGCTGTGATCCATTGTTGTTGTTTACTCTGCTGTGATCCCTTGTTTTTGTTTACTCTGCTGTGATCCCTTGTTGTTGTTTACTCTGCTGTGCTCTCATGTTGTTTACTCTGCTGTGATCCCTTGTTGTTGTTTACTCTGCTGTGATCCATGTTGTTTACTCTGCTGTGATCCCTTGTTGTTTACTCTCACGAATGACACTGGTGACATTTTACGAATGTGCGAGCGAGAGAGAGAGAGCGAGAGCGATGGGGAGAGACAGGAGAGGAGAGAGAGAGAGCGATGCAGAGACAGAGAGCGTAGGTCGTGAAAGTTCGTCGAGCTGTGTACACAGAGATACAGACGCAAATTATTATCAGGCGCCGGCTGCGCGCTGCCGCTCGCGCGAGGGACAATTACAGTGGGGATGACGCACGAAAGACAGATGTCCCTCGTGTGGACTCTTGGGGCGAGTGCCGTGAGCGTGCGACGATGAAGGTCGAAACGACGCACGAAGTGGGGAGTGTGGCCAGCACCACACCCGGCTGCCTTTATCTCCCCAATACTGATGGGGATCTTTGAACACACCGCACCAGGTACTCATTCGAAGGCTGAGTCCACCGAGGCGAAGGCCCTGGACCAGTTCGGATAGTCACTCACCACTGAGGTTAGCCGCGGCCGGGAATCGAACTTAGGTGTGTCGGGGTTGGTAATGCTGCGCGCTAACCACTGCGCCACGCGCACAACCCACGTGCGTTCATAGCCGTGGCTCCACCGTCCACGTGAGCCGAGAAATTCGACTGCCCGTAGGCCTGAAGCGACTTAATTTTCACGCGATCCGCGGCCACGTGAGGCTATTACTTCAACACGGTCCGCACAGTAGATGTATCCGCCACTGCACGCATCATAGCCCCACTAATTGAAGTATCAAACTAATTATATGTTCACGCTGCTGCGTTGGCAGTCGTGCACGAGCACAAATAGTAATAAATAAACAACACGTTCGTCAATAACAGCACTGCAGCCTCAAAAGGAAACTATAAAAGCGGCGATGTTTCGGGCAATGACACTTTTTCATGTTCTGCGAAGAAGGGTCATTGCCCGAAACGTCGCAATCGATACTTTTCTTTTCATTTTCAGGCCACATACAGTGTTATTGAATGTTGTACTGATTGTCTATTGGGTGATAGTATTGTCTACGTGGTTGATAATTCGAACCCGAATGAACGCTTCCCTTTGCTGAAGTTGTTTCGCTGGACTGAATTGAAGACGCTCCCAGCACGCGAAGCGAAACGTCGGACATCGCGTCCGAACAACACGCGGCGGTCCGACGTCGTTACAAACCTCATCGTAGAGCCCTGCAGTAGCCCGATGCATGGGCAGCTACACAGGCGAGCGATGCTGCTGTTGCTGGCAACGTGCGTTGTACCGTACCCAGGTTCGCGTCTCCTCAATCCACAGCCACTCATCACCCTCCGCCTCCTCCTCCTCCCTTCAGTGAGCCCGCAACAGCAATTAATTGACAGCTACGTACAGGGTACGGCTAATCACCTCATGATGGATGCATTACAAACGATCACATCATTTATTCTTATTGTGTTACTGTAATCAGTTCGCCTGTGCGTGTAGGAGCCCTTTTGTGAATCCACTTCTGGATGAAGGCCTCCACAATCAACGCCTGTGTGGGTCGTGCAGGTTATTTGACCATACTTCACCACGATTTAAGTGGTTAGGTTGCCGACTTTTTACCGTGTGCGCGAGAGAGCCCGCCCTCCGAGGAGATGGAGTGAAGCAATCATCTCATGTGCGGGCACTAGGTGGATCATTGTACATCGCAATAGTGTAGCGGTTAGCGCGCTGTGCTACGAACCCGGCGACCCAAGTTCGATTCCCCTCTCACGGCCAACACCCAGTGACAATTATCTCAATCGGTCCTGGGCCTCCCCTAGGTCGACCAAGCCTCAAATGAGTACCTGGTGCGGTGTGAATACATCGCCACTTTGGATACAAAGGCGGCCGGGCGTGGTCTGGCCAACCACCCCCTTGTGTGCACTTGCCGGCTTTCATAGGTGCTCGCAAACAGCACTTGTCCCAAGAGTCTGTTAAGGCTATATAGGGGGGGGGGGGGGTCTTTGTTACACATCGCAGGATCGAGAGGCGGCGGCTTAGCGAGGCCTTCATCCAGCAGTAGATTGATCATGGCTGATTCTGGATTAACGAATACCCATTACCGTATCCCGATGATCAAAGTCAATTATTTGTCCCCAAAAATGTCCAAAGCGGTGAGGAATGAAGGGGAGGCGGGGAGGGAGGGAGGGAGGGGAGGGAGGGGAGGGGAGGGAGGGAGTAGGAGAGAGGTGGGCTGGGTGAGAGAGAGGAGTGCGCTGGGAAAGCGTGGGGCGAGTATTGAGAATCTTCTCCGCCACTCTTCCCTCCCTGCCGTGCTCCAGCAGCACACGCAGCGCGCGCCTAGAGGACCTCACAAGCTAACAGTACACACACACAGCCTATACTCATTACAGCTGATACACCAACAGGCTATTGTAGGTTTACGCCTATTGTTATCATCATCAGTATCATTAGAATTTGCAGCTGTACAATAAAGAATGGCTCAGAGTGCGGCTGCGGTGACCAACATCTGACGGTGAAGCGCGCGGGTCACGCCGCTGCCCTCCTTCTCCGTCATCCTTCGGCAGCGACTCCTCCAGGCGACTCGTGACGCCGACCCCCTACTCAGCGTCCTCGATTCCAACGTTGCCATCGCTGCTGACCAACTTCCCGCCGCCATACGCCAGAAGAACGCGGCTGTAGTATGCGAGCGCGGCCAGGCTGGGTGGCGGTGCGTGCGTGCGTGCGTTAGGGTGCATGAATTATTTGTTGTTATTTGGCGGTTGTTGTTATTTGTTTGGAGTGGTAGTGTAGCGGTTAGCGCGATGCGCTACGGCCCCGGTGACCCGAGTTCGATTCCCTCTCGTTGCCACCAACGCCAGTGACGATTATCTGAACCGGGCCTCGCCTACGTTGACTCAGCCTCAAATGAGTACCTGCTGCGGTGTGTAAACATCACCACTGGGGAGACAAAGGCGGCCGGGCGTGGTGCTGGCCACCCACCCCCTCGTTCGCAGGGTTCGCCTTCATAGGTGCTCGCTAACAGCACTTGTTAAGGCTATACGGGGGTCGTTGTCTTTGTTTTTGTACGTGTCTGTGTGTGTTGGGGTGTATTTATTATATTATTTGTGGGGAGTGGTATTGTAGTGGTTAGTATGCTGCGCTTCGATCCCAGTGACCCGAGTTCGATTCCTGCTCACGGCCACCAACGCCAGTGACGATTGTCTGCACCGGTCCTGGGCCTCGCATAGGTTGACTCAGCCTCAAATTATTACCTGGTGCGGTGTGTAAACATTGTTACTCGGGAGACAAAGGCGGCCGGGCGTGGTGCTGACAACCAACCCCCTCGTGTACCGTCCCGGCCTTCATAGGTACTGCTCGCTAATAGCACTTGCCCCAACAGTCCGCTGAGGCTATACGGGGGATCTTTGTCTTTGTGTGTGTGTAGTTACAAATATTCACGTCGCTATATAGGACGCGGCTTACAGGATCCGGGTGGCATTACCGCACAGAGATTAGGATCGCGTCTCCGGTGTGGCAATGGGCTGTTCGAGTCGCCCTCTCTTCCCCATTTAATTTTTAACGAGCTCGTGATAAGAGTTTCCAATTAACGTGGTCTCGTGTGCGCGAGTGTCAACGGCTACCCAGACGCATTGAACATTGTGCAGTCTTCCATTGCTTTATTTAATAGGTTGCTTTCTGTGTTCTATTTACATAGCGTGTTTGTCTTTTCTCTCGAGGAGCTCTCTGGGTGTTCCTCTAGCGGAGTCCCTCTTCTGCCAGCAGTGGCGTGAGCTCACAATTGTGTAATGTTGAATGTGACTCGTTTCCGTTTAATGAACGGAGGGGTTAATCCACCAACGTGGGGGTGCCGATAACGCAGCCTCCGGCCAACAGCGGGCGTCAGCACCCTGGACAGCTCCCTGGCTGAGGATGATAGCCCAGTGATAGAGCAGTCATAGAGACCAGTCATAGACCAGTTATAGACTAGTCATAGAGACCAGTGATAGAGCAGTCATAGACTAGTCATAGACTAGTCATAGACCAGTCATAGAGACCATTGGTAGACCAGTCATAGACCAGCCATAGACCAGTCATTGACTAGTCATAGACCAGCCATAGAGACCAGTGGTAGACCAGTCATAGAGACCAGTGGTAGACCAGTCATAGGCTAGTCATAGAGACCAGTGATAGAGCAGTCATAGACTAGTCATAGACCAGCCATAGAGACCAGTGGTAGACCAGTCATAGACCAGTCATAGACTAGTCATAGACCAGCCATAGAGACCAATGGTAGACCAGTCATAGACCAGTCATAGACTAGTCATAGACCAGTAATAGAGACCAGTGGTAGACCAGTCATAGAGCAGTCATAGACTAGTCATAGACTAGTCATAGACCAGCCATAGAGACCAGTCATAGACCAGTCATAGACCAGCCATAGACCAGTCATAGACTAGTCATAGACCAGCCATAGAGACCAGTCATAGACCAGTCATAGACCAGTCATAGACCAGTCATAGACTAGTCATAGAGACCAGTGGTAGACCAGTCATAGAGACCATTGGTAGACCAGTGGCAGACCAGTCACAGACCAGTCATAGGCTAGTCATAGACCAGCCATTGAAACCAGTGGTAGACCAGTTATAGACCAGTTATAGACCAGTTATAAACTTGTCATAGACCAGTCATAGACCAGTCATAGACCAGTCATAGAAACCAGGGGTAGACCAGTTATAGACCAGTTATAGACCAGTCATAGACCAGTCATAGACCAGTCATAGACCAGTTATAGACCAGTCATAGACCAGTTATAGACCAGTCATAGACCAGTTATAGACCAGTTATAGACCAGTCATATACCAGTCATAGACCAGTTATAGACCAGTCATAGACCAGTTATAGACCAGTCATAGACCAGCCATAGACCAGTCATAGATCAGTCATAGACTAGTCATAGACCAGTTTTACAACAGTAATAGACCAGTCATAGACCAGTCATAGAGACCAGTGATACAAGTGATAAGAGTGATGGACCAGTGCTAGACCAGTCAACAAATCTTCGTATAGATCTACCTCTCACATATTCGCAGTTTACTTCATCGTTCTACATTTAACCTGTCGCACTGTAGGGTAATGCCGACGCTGGACGCAACCAATCACCCCCGCACACCCGCCCCGCTTAGAACGCATGCATCCGTGCGTCGACAGTTACAATAATCAAGCGAGAGGAATATTTTCTGCAAGTTCGTGGCGACGTGAGAGAGGCTCGTATCGATGAACAGTGGAGATCATCGCGGTTGCTGATTGTGCAGCCAATGCACCGGAGACTCCACGGGCCGAATAAGAGGGCAGCGATTGGACAGGGTTCACGCGGACACCACGTGCTGTGGCTTGAATATCACCACCACCATCACTGCGACCGCTTTATCGCAGCCCGAGCGCTTCAGGGCCGCGAAACGTGAATTTACTCAACAAAGCCATGTGGATGCACGGCCTTCCAACTGCTCCTGCACCCCTTCCTCCAACTCCTCCTCCTACTCCACCTCCTGCTACTGCGATCACTGCGACTGCAGGAGCTCCAGCCGAGTGGCTCCCGCACGCAGCGTCCGCCGCCGCGAACTGAACCCTGTGCGCGTGTTAAAGGGCCACCACCACCACCGCCACTGAAGGCAAAGATCCCCCATATAGCCCATTCAGGCTGTCGGGGCAAGTGCTGTTTGCGAGCACCATCAGGACTATCAAGCACCACAACCGCCACCACCTCCACCTCGAGCAGTGCCGCGTCCCGTCTCGGCGCGCACGCCGCGGCAGCGATGCTCACGTGCGTGGCCTGCTTCTGGTGCCTGCTGTCGCTCGCCCTGCTCGCAGCCTGCAGCCTGGGTCTCGTCTCCCCCGCCTGGCTCGCCCGGACCGCGGCCAGTGCCGCCAGCGGTGGTGGCAGCGGTGGTGTGGCCGGGGTCGGGGGAGCCGGCATGGTCAGCCTCGGTCTCTTCGGCTACTGCGGAGGGGGGCCGACCCCCGGCTCCGTGCCCCTGGGAGGCCCCGCGGGAGGAGGAGGCTCGGGGCCGGGGCAGGTGGCGACGCACGCGTGCAGCACGTACGGAGGCAGGGGACGCTTCGGGGACATCCCCTCGGCGGCGTGGCAGGTGAGGCGGGCCACTTGGCAGGATTGAGAACACGTGGCAGATGTGGGGGGCACGTGGTAGGATTGAGAAACACGTGGCAGGTGAGAGGGCACGTGGCAGGTTAGGGGGGTACGTGCCAGGATTGAAAACACGTGGCAGGTGAGGGGGGTACGTGGCAGGTGAGGGGGGCACGTGGCACTGTGTGTGAGAGGGGTGGAGAGCAATGGTATGGTGAGTGGGACCGGTGGCGCAGTGTTGAGCGCACCTAGCGACACGAGATCTTCGCCACTGGGGAGGCGGCCGGGCGTGGTGCTGGCCACCCGTCCCCTCGAGTGCCGTTCCGGCCTTCATAGTCTATTAAGGCTATACGGGGGATCTTTATATTTGGTGTGATGAGTGCTGGTAGGTGAGGTGTGTGTAATGTATATGGTAAGTGGTGCCCATAGTGCGCAGTGACCTGCGCTTCCGGTGTCCAGGGTTCAAGCCCCTTCCGTGGTGCCCATTAGTAGTGATTGGTATCTGTTGAACCCGTCATTGGTTCCCTCCAGGTCGACTTAGCCTAAATTAGTACCTAGCAGTGGTGGTTCGTGGCTCCAGGTTGAGGAGGCAGCAAATTCCGTCTCGGGATTTCTAAGCTCAGGAGATGACGCGTCTAGGTGCTGGCAGTACTAGAGACTCATAGACTCGCATAGAGACTCATATAACCACATAGAAACCCACTGACTCGCATAGAGACGACAGAGTCACATCGAGACCTCACGGAGAGGCTGCACTGCATATCAAGCAGTGCACGTGTTGCTTGTAAGCGCTAACTGCAGCCACCACTGGTGGATACACGCGATGGTGCTGGCGGTAGCAGTGGACTCCTCTACTGTACATCGATGCGTACGGCCCAATTTGCCAGTCCACTACTGGACGAGGGCCTCTCTTACGTGTTTGACCATACATCACCGCGCTGGTTTGGTAATTTTGCGTAGGTAAAGGCCGGCAGCATAGACGTACAGTCCAACAATGAATGTTGCTGCACTGTCCTCTGCTGCCCACAACCTGGGAACTATAAACTAAACTATTTATTTTATTTTACTAGGTCAGGTCTGCTGCGCTACATAGGTCTTTTTCACGAGGGACCTGGCAACAAATGATAGCTCAACGAAGTGGCTTATCACGTGGAAATTTAAAGCTGCCAAATACTCTAAACGCGTGTTTATAAATGTCGAGGGAAAAAAAAAGACGACCCAGAGAAAAATCCACGCGACGACTGGGAGAGAGAGAGACCGCAAACTCCAAACATACAGAAGGCGTCTGGGTAGGGATCGAATCCACGAACCGGCTGCATGCCAGGCGAGATTCGAAGAACATTTAACAACCCGTAATGCAGAGCTAATCGAAGTGCTGCTGTCAATCGCATCTGGTGACGCAGCAGCATCTGCTGATGAGACCCAGAACGTCAGGATCGGGGCCTGGGTTTCCTTTAAAAAATGATATTGAATAATTTTAATCGGGAAAGCCAATAATAATAATAATCTGTGAGTGTAGTGACTTTGAGCGGTGTTCTGCTTGTATATGTATCCATAAATCCCCGCGGCTGCGCATCACGAGTTTGATTCTACTTGGTGGTCGCTCATCCGAGATCGAACCAGGCTCAAGTCCCACTCAGCTTCCGCTATCTGATGAGACCGGGCTCATTTGCGGGTGACGTATGGTCATCGTGTGGGGGTGAACAGGGGATGAACAAGTGGTGAGCAGGGGGTGAACAAGGCGTGAACAGGGGGTGAACAGGGGGTGAACAGGGGGTGAACAGGGGGTGAACAAGGGGTGAACAGGGGGTGAACAAAGGGTGAACAAGTGGTGAGCAGGGGGTGAACAAGGCGTGAACAGGGGGTGAACAGGGGGTGAACAGGGGGTGAACAAGGGGTGAACAGGGGGTGAACAAAGGGTGAAAAGGGGATGAACAGAGGGTGAACAGGGAATTAATAGGGGGTGAACAAGGGGTGAACAGGGGATGAACAGGGGGTGAACAAGGGATGAAAAGGGGATGAACAGGGGGTGAACAAGGGGTGAACAGGGGATGAACAGAGGGTGAACAGGGGTGAACAGGAGATGAACAGGGGGTGAACAAGGGGTGAAAAGGGGATGAACAGAGGGTAAACAGGAGATTAACAAGTGGTGAACAGGGGGTGAACAAGGGGTGAACAGGGGGTGAACAGGGCATGAACAAGTGGTGAACAGGGGGTGAACAAAAGGTGAAAAGGGGATGAACAGAGGGTGAACAGGGGTGAACAGGGGGTGATCAGGGGATGAACAAGGGATGAACAGGGGGTTAACAGGAGATGAACAGGAGATGAACAGGGGGTGAACAGGGGGTTAACAGGTGGTGAACAAGGGGTGAACAGGAGATGAACAGGGGATGAACAGGGGTGAACAGGGGATGCACAGGGGGTGAACAGGGGGTGAACAGGGAGTGAACAGGGGATGAACAAGGGGTGAAAAGGGGATGCACAGAGGGTGAACAGGGGGGAACATGGGATGAACAGGGGATGTTCAAATAGTGAACAGGGGATGAACAAGGGATGAACAGGGGGTGAACAGGGGATGAACAAGGGATGAACAGGGGGTGAACAAGGGGTGAACAGGGGATGAACAGGGGGTGAACAAGGGGTGAAAGGGGGATGAACAGGGGATGAACAGGGGGTGAACAAGGGGTGAAAGGGGGATGAACAGGGAGTGAACAGGAGGTGAACAAGGGGTGAAAGGTGGATGAACAGGGGATGAACAGGGGGTGAACAAGGGGTGAACAGGGGATGAACAGGGGGTGAACAGGGGGTGAACAAGGGGTGAACAGGGGATCAACAGAGGTGAACAGGGGATGAACAAGGGATGAACAGGGGATGAACAAGGGGTGAACAGCGGGTGAATAGGGGATGAACAAGGGGTGAAAAGGGGATGAACAGGGGGTGAACAGGGAGTGAACAGGGGATGAACAAGGGGTGAACAGGGGATGAACAGGGGGTGAACAGGGGGTGAACAGGGGATGAACAGGGGGTGAACAGGGGATGAACAAGGGGTGAACAGGAGATGAACAGAGGATGAACAGGGGGTGAATAGGGGATGAACAAGGGGTGAAAAGGGGATGAACAGGGAGTGAACAGGGGGTGAAAGGGGGATGAACAGGGGATGAACAGGGGGTGAACAAGGGGTGAACAGGAGATGAACAGAGGATGAACAGGGGGTGAATAGGGGATGAACAAGGGGTGAAAAGGGGATGAACAGGGAGTGAACAGGGGGTGAAAGGGGGATGAACAGGGGATGAACAGGGGGTGAACAAGGGGTGAAAGGGGGATGAACAGGGAGTGAACAGGAGGTGAACAAGGGGTGAAAGGAGGATGAACAGGGGATGAACAGGGGGTGAACAAGGGGTGAACAGGGGATGAACAGGGGGTGAACAGGGGGTGAACAAGGGGTGAACAGGGGATCAACAGAGGTGAACAGGGGATGAACAAGGGATGAACAGGGGATGAACAAGGGGTGAACAGCGGGTGAATAGGGGATGAACAAGGGGTGAAAAGGGGATGAACAGGGGGTGAACAGGGAGTGAACAGGGGATGAACAAGGGGTGAACAGGGGATGAACAGAGGGTGAACAGGGGGTGAACAGGGGATGAACAGGGGGTGAACAGGGGATGAACAAGGGGTGAACAGGGGATGAACAGAGGATGAACAGGGGGTGAATAGGGGATGAACAAGGGGTGAAAAGGGGATGAACAGGGAGTGAACAGGGGATGAACAAGGGGTGAACAGGGGATGAACAGGGGGTGAACAAGGGGTGAACAGGGGATGAACAGGGGGTGAACAGGGGATCAACAGAGGTGAACAGGGGATGAACAAGGGGTGAACAGGGGATGAACAAGGGGTGAACAGCGGATGAACAGGGGATGAACAGGGGGTGAATAGGGGATGAACAAGGGGTGAAAAGGGGATGAACAGGGGGTGAACAGGGAGTGAACAGGGGATGAACAAGGGGTGAACAGGGGATGAACAGGGGGTGAACAAGGGGTGAACAGGGGATGAACAGGGGGTGAACAGGGGATGAACAGAGGGTGAACAAGGGGTGAACAGGGGGTATCTCTGGGGTGGGGGAGGTGGGGGGTGCTATTCCCCAGAGCGTGTGGTGTTACATCTGATGATCTTACGCGGCCATGCAATCAATCTCCACAACCATTCACCTCGTCAAGTGATGATGAGTCCTCCCGTGGGATATTACGATACGCTGTGTATTTACAAAGGCAAAGGTCCCCCGTGTAGCGCACATCGGCTGTTGGTACAAGCGCTGTTAGCGAGCGCATGAGGCACGGCACGCCAAACCGCACCGGGTACCATTTTTAAGGCTGAGTCGACCTAGTGGAGGTCCAGGACACTGATGACAGCCGTATCCGGGAATCGAACTGGCTTCACAGCCCAAGGGAGCCGTACCACCACTCCACAGAAAAACAAAGTTCCCCCGTGTAGCCTTTACAGACTGTTGGGGCAAGTGCTGTTTTGCGAGCACCTATGAAGGCCCGCACGGCATACGAGGGGGTGAGTGGCCAGCACCACGCCCGGCCGCCTTTGTCTTCCTCGTGGCGAAGTTTACACACGGCATCAGGTGCTTATTTAAGGTTGAGTCGACCTAGGCGAGGCCCAGGACCGATTCACATAATCGTGAGCGGGAATCGGGACTCGGTCTGCCGGGTTCTTAGCGCAGCGAGCTAACCGCTCCGCTTACTGCTCCCGAGCGCAAGGGAGCCGTACGATTCGATTCTATTTCGTATTTATTTCTCGCCCTTTCCACCACTCCACACACGCGCGCACGCACGCACGATCGATCTCACAGGTGACGCGGTTGTCTTTTTGTGCCGATTCCTCGTGGCTTTCATCGCTCCGCGTTCGCGTCCTTTACTCCAACGTGTTTTGCCTTTGTCAAGTTGGTGAGCCAGGTCAGTGCTTGTCAATGAGACTCTTACTGGTAGGAACCTCCCGGTTACA